TGAGCTGCCTACCTCAGCCGCCCGAAGTGCTGGGATTATAGGTGTGAGCCACTGCGCCCGCCCTAGAACTATAAATGTTAATTCAAGCTTTATTCCAAAATCTCTATACAATTTGACTTAAATTCTTAAAATCAAGAGAGGAAATTGTTTTAAGACTATAGTAAAGAATTTTATAGGAAAATAGTTGTCTATTGTTTGCTGTTTAGTTATAAACAAAAGGTTTACATTTTGAAAAGCCTTGATGTATGTATGTAGCCATGCAAGCATAAGCAAAATCAAGATAGTGAATGTATCTTCCTGCTCCTTTGTAATCCCTCCCTTCTGTGCTTTCCTGAAGCCTCTTTTCTCAAAAAATGCAGACTAGTTTGCATTTTTTCAGCACATGGAATCATACAATGTGTATTTTATTTTGTGTGGCTTCTTTTACTCAGCATAATTATTTTGAGATTCATCTGTGTTGGTGCATGCATCTATAATTCCTTTTTATTCCTAAGTATTCCATTGTATAGTTATACCATGATTTGCTTATCCATTCATCTGCTGATGGACATTTTGGTTGCTTACACTTCTCAGCTATTAGATATAATGGTGCTATGAACATTTGTATGGACATATGTATCCGTTTTAAGGGTAAATACTCAGGAGTGGAATGGCTGAATCAAGTGGTAGGTATACATTAACAATTTATGAAACTGCTGAACTGTCTTTCAAAGTCTTTGTACCATCTTACATATTTAGAAGCAGTGTATGAGAGTTCCAGTTCCTTCATGTACTTGCTAACATACAAAATGATCAGTCATAAATTTTAGTCATTCTAGTGAGCATGTAACGGCATCTCCTTGTGGTTTTTTTTTTCTTTTTTTTTTTTTAGACAGAGTCTCACTCTGTCGCCAGGTTGGAGTACGGAGGTGGGATCTCGGCTCACTGCAACCTCTGCCTCCCGGGTTCAACTGGTTCTCCTGCCTCAGCCTTCCGAGTAGCTGGGATTACAGGCGCCCACCACCATGCCTGGCTAATTTTTTTATTTTTAGTAGAGATGAGGTTTCGCCATGTTGGCCAGGCTGGTCACAAACTCGTGACCTCAGGTAATCCACCTGCCTCGGTCTCCCAAAATGCTGGGATTACAGGCGTGTGCCACTGTGCCTACCCTGATTTTATTTTTGAGACAGAGTCTCACTCTGTCGCTCAAACTGGAGTGCAGTGGCACAATCTTGGCTCACTGCAACCTCTGCCTCCCAGGCTCAAGTGATTCTCCTACCTCAGCCTCCCAAATAGCTGGGATTACAGGTGTGTGCCACCACACTCAGCTAATCTTTTTGTATTTTAGTACAGATAGGGATTCACCATGTTGCCCCAGGTGGTTTTGAACTACTGAGCTCAGGCAATCCATCCACCTTGGACTCCCAAAGTGCTAGGATAACAGGGATGAGCCACCTCACATAGCCATAGTCTCACTCTTGAAAGAAATTCAACTGCCAATTTATTTCAAAGAATTAATTCATGACAAAATTTGTTAGTGAAAAACCATAGTAAAAAGGTTATCACTAAGTTGTTTTTAGCAATAACAAATATTTATTTGTCATTAGACACTATAAGAAGGTAAGTTTGGCCAGGCATGGTGGCCCACACCTGTAATCCCTGCACTTTGGGAGGCCGAGGCAGGTGGATTACCTGAGAGGTCAGGAGTTCAAGACCAGCCTGACCAACATGGAGAAACCCCATCTCTACTCAAAAATACAAAATTAGCCTGGTGTGGTAGCGCATGTCTGTAATACCAGCTACTTGGGAGGCTGAGGCAGGAGAATCGCTTGAACCTGGGAGGCGGAGGTTGCAGTGAGCTGAGATCACGCCATTATACTCCAGCCTGGGCAACAAGAGAGAAACTCCAGCACGCAGAGTGGCTCACACCTGTAATCCCAGCACTTGGGGAGGCTGAGGCGGGCAGATCCATGAGATCAGGAGTTGGAAACCAGCCTGGCCAACATGGTGAAACCTGGTCTTTACTAAAGATACAAAAAATTAGCCAGGGGTGGTGGCGCGTACCTGCAACACCAGCTACTTGGGAGGCTGAGGCAAAAGAATTGCTTGAACCCGGGAGACAGAGGTTGCAGTGAGCCAAGACTGGGCCACTGCAATCCAGCTGGGCAACAGGGCCAGACTCTGTCTCCAAAAAAAAAAAAAGAGAAACTTGGTTTCAAAATTTTGACTCTGGATACTGATAAGCCACATCAACAACATGCCAAATAAATTTTATTTTTTTTAATTTTTGAGATGGAGTCTCACTCTGTCACCCAGGCTGGAGTGCAGTAGCATAATCTCAGCTCACTGCAACCTCTGCCTCCCGGTTTCAAGTGATTCTCCTGCCTCAGCCTCCTGAGTAGCTAGGATTACAGATGCGCACCACCATACCCGGCTAATTTTTGTATTTTTAGTAGAATGGGGTTTCACTATGTTGGTCAGGCTGGTCTGAAATTCCTGACCTCTGGTGATCCACCCGCCTTGGTCTCCCAAAGTGCTGGGATTACAGGTGTGAGCCACTACAGCTGGGTGCCAAAGAAAACTTTTGATGGAACATAGTGATTTTCAATTCTAGGCACACTGCAGGCAGGATACAAGAAACTTTTTTTTTTTTTTTTTTTAAAGAACAGAGTCTCACTCTATTACCCAGGCTGGAGTGCAGTGGTACAATTACAGAGCACTGCAGCCTCAACCTCCTGAGCTTAAGGGATCCTCCCACCTCAGCCTCCCAAGTAGCTGGGACTACATGCACATGCCACCATGCTTGGCTAATTTTTCTATTTTTTATATAAATGGGGTTTTGCCATGTTGCCCAGGCTGGTCTCGAACTCCTGAGCTCAAGCCATCCTCCTGCTTCGGCCTCCCAAAATGCTGGGATTACAAGTGTGAGCCACCATGCCTGGTCTACAAGAAACTTCTTTACATACTCCTCCGTTCTCTTCTGCATGCCTTTCTCATACTTTGATATCTCCTATCATAATCCTTCCCTTCCCAGCCAAAACATCTTCTGACATCACAACTATCATGTTTCACCTTGGCTTTTATCTTCTCTAAGCAAAGTAACCTAGTTCCTGCAATAATTCCTGAAGAAAATAAACAAGCAAATACTGAAGTGAATATAAAAAACATAAGCAATCAAAGAAAATTTGCTAATTGGACTTAAAATTTTAAACCTTTATACTTCAAAAGACACTATTGAGAATGTGGAACAACAGCCCAGTGTAGAAGAGAATATCTGAAAATATTGTTATCCAAATAAAATAGGGAGCTTGTGTTCAGAACAGATAAAGAATTCTTAAAATGCAATACTAAAATGACGATCTAAAGTGTGGAATGGATTTGAGTAGACACCTGTCCAAAGAACATAGAGTGCCAATAAGTATATGAAAAGATGCTCAACATCACCAGTCATTAAGCAAATGTAAATCAAAAACACAATTAGATACCACTTCACCCTGGTGCTAAACAATTGACTGAGGGGAGCTGATGGATAAGTACTCTTCACCCTTTGGCTGGGATCACTCTCAGGAACGTAACTCTAAACTGGCTCCCAGAGTTTCCCAATAGGCTTAAGCTCCAGTTACTCACAATAATAACATATTTGATAACATACTCTGCCTTCTTTTTCCTATCTCATTTCCCCACTTTCCAGCCAGTGTTTCCTAGGATCACTTTCTGAAAAAAAAGTACTTGCACTCAAATCCTTACCTCACAGTCTACTTCTGGGAGCAACCTAAAGACTTAAAATGGAAGAGAGTGAGATGTGGGACTGAGGTTGGAGATTTCATAAATGGTTTGAGAGGGGAATCACCAACAGTTTTCCCGTCTCTCCAGTTTTTAACTTATCCCTCTTCAGAATCTCCACTCCCTCTTCAGAAATTATCCTGTCTTTTATAACACTTTCCTGACATTACAACTTCCCCCTAGCTATTGCCATATAGCTTACTATGTATTTATTTATCTACTTATGAATGAACGACAGGGTCTTGTTCTGTCACCATGACTTAAGTAGAGTGGTGTGATCATGGCTCACAGCAGCCTTGACCTCCCAGGCTCAAGTGATCCTCCCACCTCAGCCTCCCAAGTAGCTGGCACTACATGCATGTACCAATGCACCTGGTTAATTTTTAATTTTTTTTGTAGAGACAAGGTCTCACTGTGTTGCCCAATTTTGTCTCAAACTCCTGGGCTCAACTGATCCCCCACTTTGGCCTCCCAAAATGCTAGGATGACAGGAGTGAGCCACCACACCTGGCCAATCACATATCTTTAGTCAAGCTTTTAAAGAGTAAGCAATTCATTCATACTGTGTGTCTTCAGATCTTAATCTTAATTCCAGTCAGATCTAAACAGACTGCAATCTGACTAAAATCTATTAAGTTTACTGTTAATATAACAAATAACATCCTGAATGCAAAATGCAGTAGAAAATTGAGTTATCTGTGGCATTTGACATTTTAGGCTCTTAGGCAACCTCTTTCCCATGAAGCATTAGGTTCCGAATTCTAAGATACCACATTCCTGACTCTCTTTTCACCTTTTTGAAATGTTTTTCTTAGACTTTTTTTAAGGACTGTCTTCCTCAGCTAAAACTTTATGTGATGGTATATATTAATGAACACTATTCTCTACCGTTTTAACTTCCTCCATGCCCATGGATTCAGTTTCCATCTTTCTGGGAACAATTTTGTAATCTGTACTTCCAGGCATACTTTGATGATGGTCCTCTCAGGTTCCCACTATTCTTGTACACACTGACATTAAATCAACTGTCACATGATATTCAAATTATCAGTATGTCTTTTCTCATTAGAATGTCAGTTTCCTAAAGCCAGAAATTATGTGACAGGCACAGAGTCGTGCTCAATATTTATGTAAATGGCTGAAAGATTCTTTCATTTCCTGGATCCTGTCAGATAATCTACAGTATTATCTAGCAAATACAAAACTAATTGCAGATATATGATCCATCAATTTCTCACCTTGTGTTTTCTTTGTATCTTCACTTTCCATGCTTGTCTGTATTCTTTTTCCTTAGATTTCATCTATAAGATAAAGGTATTTTCTCGATTTAAATCAATGTTTGAGAATGCCAAAGATATAAATACAAAGGGGTGGGAAACATTGTTTTCCTGAAGCCAAAAGACCAGGGAACTACAACTTTTAAAATAATAATTAAATGTAATTAACTTAGTTGAATAATAAGTTGAATCTGCAACTTATTAGATGTGTGATAAGTTGAATCTGCACCTTATTAGATGTGTGATATCAAGCAAGTTGATTAAATTCTTTGAGGCTCTGTATCCTCATCTGTAAAATAGCAATGATATTCCTATTTCACAGAGTTGTTACAATTACATTTAAAAACATACATAAATGCAACTGGCATTTTTAAGCACTATATGCATGTAACAAATTTTATTAAGCAAATGAATGATTGGGTGACTGGATTCAACTGGACCTCTTATGGTTCCATTTCCTTCTTCTTTTTTTTTTTTTTGAGACAGCAGGGTCTCACTCCCACGCCTGGGCTGGAGTGCAGTGGTTTGATCATTGATTCAGTACAGCCTTGACCTCCCAGTCTCAGGTGATCCTCCAGCCTCCAGAGTAGCTAAAACTACAGGCACATGCCACCACACTTGACTAATTTTGCGTATTTTTCGTAGAGATGGGGTTTTGCTATGTTGCCCAGGCTGATCACAAACTCCTGGGCTCAAGCAATCCACATACCTTAGCCTCCCAAAGTGCTGGGATTACCGGCGTGGGCCCCCACGCCTAGCCCTCACTTTCTTCTTATTTTCCTCATGGAAATCTTCATCTCATAGTTTCAGATTAGGGACCCCCTCTACCAATGAGACGTTTAAAAACACACACACACTCTTCAGATTGGCCTTTCTCTTCACAAGCTAAATACTAAATTAACAACCCATGAGTATTTTCAACACGGTATAGTGAAATGGGATCTCACTATGCTGTCCAGGCTGGTCTCCCAACTCCTAAGCTCAAGCAATCCACCCATCTCAGCCTCTCAGATTGCTGGGATTACACAGTTGAGCCACCACGCCCAGCCCAGAAACATTTTTAAAATAACTGGCAACTCTGATATGGCCTCTCATATACCTTACTTTTTAAAATCCTAAACTGATTAGTTAGAAAAATGTCTCAGAGTCCAGTTAACTTCTCAGAGCAAAATATCAGGATTCACAGAACTCTAAAATTCTTATTCATTCCAACACTATGTTGTTAAAGAGAGATATCTAATTATCCATTTATAGAGCAAGGCCTTGTCTCAAAAAGAAAATTCCTAAGCACAAAGAAATGTTTAAAGAAATAACAAATTTAACAATCTTTTATAAAGTAGTATACAAATGTACAGGTATATTATTTTTGCCTCTTTATAAAGAGGCAGGGTCTCAATCTGTCACCCAGGCTGTAGTGCAGTGGCATGATCTTGGCTCACTGCAGCCTCAAACCCCTGGGCTAAAGTGATCCTCCTGCCTCAGCATTCTGAGTAGCTGAGACTACAGGTGGATACCACCATTAATTTTTTAATATTTTTGAAGAGACGGGGTTTTGCTATGTTGCCCAGTCTGGTCTTGAATTCCTGGCTTCAAGTGATCCACCCATCTTGGCCTCCCAAAGAGCTGAGATGACACGCATGAGTCACCATGCCTGGCCCATTTTTTAACCTAAATATTACATTAAAATAGAAATAGCTATTTTATGATAAATCCACAGGATAGAATATTATAAGAATATTCACATTTACAGAAATGTTCAATAGCAAAGAAAAATGCTTATATTACAGAGTTAACCAAAAAGAGCAAGACTCAACTTAATCTACAGTATGATCCCAATTAGATAGAGGTAAACATAAAATAAGTCTGGCTTTCTAGAAAGATGACATAGTAATATTTGTCTTTAGCTGGTGGTTCTATGGGTTTTATACCACTATTTTCTATTTTTCATAATTTTTATAATAATAACAGCATCTAACATTCAGTAAATACCTATTGAGGTTAGGCTGTTCTTTACACCTTATGAATATTCTTTTTAGTCTTCACGATAACCTTATGAGGGAATTATAAGGATGAAGATACATGAAGCAAGGGCAAATAATTTGACAAAGTTCAAATTGCTAGTAAGTGCCAGAGTTAAAATGGGAACCAAGAAAATTTGAGGCAAGGGCCTACACTCTTATCCTCTCTTATACTGTCTCCCGTATACAAATATATATTGCTTTTGAACAAATGGGTTAAGATTTGGAAAAGATTACTAGATTTTAAAAAATGAACTCTTTAGAAAATGGACAATTGTTATCATATATGGATGTTTTTGTTTCGTGGATGACTTTAAGGACTATTTCCTTAATTTTAATTATCCAATCTATTCTGCTTTTAATATAATTTTTAAGAGAGGGGTAATGTATAATTTTTAAACCTAAATGCTTTGAAATAAAAACTGACCACACTACCTGTTTTCTCCCTTTGTTTTTATACTTTTTTCTTAATAAACGGTTACTTTGCACAATAAGATAGTTTGCCAAGTACCTGGGAGCATGAACACAAGTCATCTATGTACTTGCGAAGTGCTTAAAAACACCCATAGCAAAGGGCAAGTTATAGCTTTCAAGAGGTTGATAATCATAAAATTTAAAATTATTTAAAAAAGTATATTCTCAAGAACAAAAGCACCTGCCATATAAAGCAGATTATGAAGTGCTTTCAGTAATTTAGTGAATATAGGTACTGTCACAAACAAGGAAATTTCGAAATCTGTATTCTCACAGGAAAAAAGGATTTTTTTCTGAATAACAGAAAGAACCTCTCCCATTTACACATTTCACTCAATCTATTCCCCAAAACAGTACTGTTAACTCAAATTCAAATTTCAGTAAGAAAAGCAGCTGAACATTATTGTTTACCTGATTTAGGAAATGTATACAAAAAGCTTTTGGGGGACAGGGCAAGGTAGCTCGCACCTGTAATCCCAGCACTTTAGGAGGCCAAGGTGGGTGGATTACTTCGGGCCAGGAGTTCAAGACCAGCCTAGCCAAGATGGTGAAACCCCGTCTCTACCAAAGAAAAGTATAAAGATTAGATGGGCGTGGTCACGCACCTGTAATCCCAGCTACTCAGGAGGCTGAGGCAGGAGAGTTGCTAGAGCCCTGGAGGTGGAGGTTGCAGTGAGCCAAGATCAGCCTAGGTGATGGTGGGAGACCTTGTCTCAAAACAAATAAATAAATTAATTAAAGAAAGCTTTTCTTTTTTTTTTTTTTTTTGAGACAGTCTTGCTCTCTCGCCCAGGTTGGAGTGGAGTGGCACGATAGCAGCTCACTGCAACCTCCACCTCCCGGGTTCAAGCGACTCTCCTGCCCCAGTCTCCCAAGTAACTGGGATTACAGGGGCCCGCCACGACACCCGGTCAAGAAAGCTTTTTGAAATCGAAATTTTATCCCAAGACATCAGAAGGATAAATGGCACCTTTTTGTGTAAGGCTGGCAAGACTGATAATCCCACCACTAAATTGTTGTCAGTGGATACCGGGCTTGGAATTATATACAGCGAAAATATCCTCTAAAGAAGAGACAAGAGAAAAAGGGCAAATTTGTTTTCAATGGTTTAAACAGACTGAGAAATAACAGTCATTCAGGTCCCAGAAAACGCACTGAGGGTACCAGGAGTCAGCTGGCTCTACAATATGAAACCCTCCCCTCAGCCTCCCGCCCAGTGCGTAAATCCTCAGGGCCTCCTCCTGGGTTCCACGGGTAACAGGTAACTTTTCCAAGGCGGGAGCCCGCCGTCGACTCACCTACAGAGTTGGAAGAATTCCTTGTGCAGCGCTTAGGTGGCCCCTCCAGGCTCCCCTCCGACCAGGGCTCGCAAGTCCCGCGCGGGAGCAGGGCACTGGTTAGCGGCGCGGGCCACTCGCGAGCCGTCAGCCCCCTCGGCAGGCCCTCCCGCTCAGGTGCTGTGGGACGCGCGGCCCCGACTCTGAGAAACCACCTCACCGGTGGGTCCCACCGTCTCCACACATCAGTCACTTAGGGGGGCGCCTAGGGAGTCGGACGTGAAATCGGGGAGAATACTGCCAGGCTCTATACACCTCTAAATGGCGCGTGATAAATGTCTCTTCCCGCCAAGGGCTGTGGGAACTACAGCCGGGGGCTGGCACCTGCCCGTAAGGGCCCTTCCCTCAACTCTACCCTTCTCCTCATGTGGGCTAACAAGGGCCTGACGAGGCAGTAGGGCCTCCTGGCCGACCCAACTCGCCTTCCACAGGCGCCAACATACGGAGTTTTCAGGAGCAGTAAGGCGAGACCCGAACGCGCGGGAGGGACCCTGACCTCTACCCTCCCGCGACGGCGCTCGCCCTTTCTTTCTCGCTGCCCACCTGCCACGACGCCCAACGGGCTTTCCCGCCCAGCCGTCCAGGTTCACATCCGGGGGCGGGACTTCCGGGAGGCACCCGCGCCATCCCTACGCAGAGTCTAATTGCCTCTGCAGGTGCCCCAGGTTGCCGAGGGCAAGGGAGTGGCCGGCGTCCGGAAGCAGGGTTTTTAGAAAAGTTACAATTTGAAAGAGAAGTCTAATCTCACCGTCCCCGGTTTTTAGGGTTTTTACTTCAGAGGCGCATTAGCCCCAGTTAGGGAACCGTGCGCGGTTGACCAGGCCTGGGTCTCGGACGGTGACCGCAAGGCGCTCGGCGAAGCCTCAACCTCCCTTCTGCCTAGCACCTGTATTTTGCACTGTGCCTTCTCCCTTTTGTTGGGCACCCCGCTGATGGTCGCCGCAGCCCCACAGAGGCAGCCAGGCCTCCAACAAACCAGGGGGCCTCCGGAGTTCAGTCCAGGCGCGCTTTCTCCGCGCCTGGACCAAAGGATCAGAGTGGGGCCGAGGCTGAGGCCTATCCCTTGCCTCCTCCGCCATAAAATGCAGCCCACGGGACTGCTAGACGATGGAGGAGCGAGTAAGGCCGCCGATACAGTGAAGAACAGCTAAAGAAGGGCTGACACATCAGGGCCCAGAACACAAAGTCCCTGTGAAGCACCCTCGCAAATCGAACAGGTGTTCACTTAGGAGACGCTGGCCTCAGAGACAGCTGCATGCAGGTTGCCTTAGGTACTGAGTCATGCACCACGGACCATGTGACTCAGCCATAAATATTAACACATCAAGCCTGAAATGGGGCACTGCCCCACCTTCTGGATTCTGGATTTCCACTCTGTTTGCATCTACTACCTCCTTTTTTTTTTTTTTTTTGGTCATCTCATATGCTGGTGAATGCTAATAGTCCCACGTGAGTTTTCTTTAAAATGAAATTTAAAAGCATATATAGGGGCCGGGCGCGGTGGCTCACGCCTATAATCCCAGCACTTTGGGAGGCCGAGGCGGGTGGATCACGAGGTCAGGAGTTCAAGACCAGCCTGGCCAACACAGTGAAACCCCGTTTCTAAAAAAAAAAAAAAAAAAAGTATAAATAATTTGAGTGGAATGACCCCATAAAATTTAAAGAAGTAGATGTAAGCAGCCAAAACTCAAGTTAGTTAAGACAACACTACATACAAGGGGATGGTCTTGTTTTCTGTGAAAACTACATATTCAGAAATAATTCCTTTTTAAATTCTATTTAACAAATGATGGTCATAAAATGTCTGTCGCTAACATTTGCACATGGCTTAAATTCACTATTGAAGACGGTAAGAAAAAAAATTGTTTAATTATCTTTAATAAAACACAAGAGATAATCTAAGGCAAGTAACTTTGAAATTGCAAGCCAATATTGATGCTCAATGAGAAATGGATAGGATTCATTTTCTAGGAAAATGACTGTCTCCTTTCCCCTCCCCACAAAGAACAAGACTACATGATTACAAATGAGAAAAATGTTTATTAATGAAACAATTTAGCAGCTCTCCTTTAGAATTTTACAGACCAAAGCACAACCCAAAGGCAATTACAGTTTCAATCATTAACACACCGTCTAAGGTGCTTACTCTACAACAGGAAAGTTGCTGAAGTTTGTGACATGCCACTGTAAATGTAAGTATTATTAAAAATTACAAATTGTTTCGTGATTATTTTGATGACCTCTTGAGCAGCAGCTCCTGAAAGGAAAAAGGAGAAATGCAAATCTTTGAAAAGAGTGAATTTCAAGAATTATATAAAAATATTTGGATAAAGAAATCTTTCCTTTTCAAAAACAAAAGCATTTGAAAGTGACTCAAAACAGATGCAGTTAGCTTACTGAGTCATATCAACATAAAAGCCTATAATTCTTTTTGTTATTAAAGGAAATCTAAACAGTAGTGTGGTTGACCAAACTTTAAAAGATACACACAGGCATAAAAGATTCTCAAAGGACACCATTCTGCTCCATTTTAATTTTACCTTGTATCTCTTTAACTTTTATAATAAAAAAGGAGAAAGGTGTATTTGTTCTAAATGCATTTGTAGTTTAGGAAGGATCTATATTAAATATTGCCAGACTGCTATATTTACTCAAAAGAAAAAAAAAGTAAGAAAAAAAGTTGTGCATCTTTTATAACCTAAAGATTCCTCTTTCCCAAATATTCATGGACTGGATAGAATTTTTTTTTTTTTTTTTTTTTTTTTTTTTTTTTTTTTTTTTTTTTTTTTTTTTGAGACAGAGTCTCACTCTCTCACCCAGGCTGGAGTACAGTGGCATGATCTCAGGTCACTGCAGTCTCCTCCTCCCAGGTTCAAGTGATTCTCCTGCCTCAGCCTCCCGAGTAGCTGGGATCACAGATGCCCACCACCACACCTGGCTAATTTTTTTTGTATTTTTAATAGAGACAGCGTTTTACCATGTGGGCCAGGCTGGTTTCCAACTCCTAACCTCAAGTGATCCGCCACCTCAGCATCCCAAAGTGGAGGCCTTACACGCGTTAGCCACCATGCTCAGCTGACTGGACAGAATTTGTGACTACCATGTACCAAATACTGTTCTAGGCAGTAGGGATACAGTAGGGAAAAAAGACAAAAAGATCCACTTGCCCTCATGTTACTTTTTAGCAGCGAGAGAGATAACTTACAAATAAATAGAATATGTAGTACGCCAACTGACCACAGACACTAAAGAGAAAAATCAAATAAGGGAGATACAAATGCAGGAGGAGGGGTTCGGTTTTAAATAGGGGAGTCAGGGATGGCATCACAGAGAAGACAGCATTCAAACAAAACCTGAAAAAAGTGACGGGATATAATGGCACTATGCAAAATGATTATAGAATGCATAGCAGTAAAAAAAAAAAAAAACCTTCAATTTATACTTTTTTTCTGCTATAGGTAAGTCATCTAGTCCATCCATCTGACTGTACCTCTTCTCAGATTCTGGACTAAATCTGAATAAATAATAATTTGCCCTTTTCTGTGAACTGGCAGTTAACTCGGCTATTCTGGCACAAGAAACTTGGTTTTAGTTTAAAATAAATTATTACAAATCAGGCTTTAATTTGGATTTGCTTAGAAAATAGTTTTCTAAGTCTTATGATTCATTTACATTTTGAACACTTCAAATATTAATCAGACCTAAATCTGCCTTCAAAACATTCAATATCTAGAAGGAAAATGCCATAAGCAAACAGTTCAGTCTATAGGAGATCACAGAAAGGACAGTAGTATTTTTTTGAGGAGTGTTAGGCACTAAATGGTTTGTGTCCCCCTCAAATTCATATGTTTAAATCCTAACCCCCAGTATAATTGTGTGAGGATAGGGCCTTTGGTAGGTGATTAGGTCAAGAGGGTAGAACCTTCATGAATAAGATTACTGCCCTTAAAAGAGACCCCAGAAACTTCTCTTGACATTTTTTTTCCCACCATGTGAGAACACAGAAGAGAGAGCCGTCCATGAACCAGGAAACAGACTCTCACCAGACCCTGACCATGCTGGCACCCTAATCCCAGACTTCTAGCCTCCAGAACTCTGTGATAGATTTTTGTTGTTTATAAGTCTATGATATTCTGTTACAGCAGCCCAAGGTGACTAAGACAAGGGGGAAGTAGAGTGAGAGAGGGAAGTAAAGGGAGCTTTTATGAAAGACGTCATTTTTAAGTTGGGCCTTGAAGAATATGTAGCTTTTGGATATGCAGAAAAAGATATTTTTAAGGCAAATAGCCCCAGAGAAGCAAAGATCTAGGAGTAGGAAATCAAAGAGCATGCCTGAGGGGAATGCGAGTAATATGATAAAACCAATGCTAGAGAGGCTGAGTAGAACCAGAATACAGGGTTTTTAATGTCAAGCCAAGGTCCCTGGGCTTGCTTTGGGAACCGTTGAGGGCAGAGGGTTAGTAGAAGGACACAATCAGAGCTATGCTTTAGAAGGATGAATGACTGTTCAGAAGTTTAAGTTGGCTGGCAGCATGAGAAACGGAAGGCAGGGAGACCAGTAAAGGGGGAACTGAGTAAGTATCCTAACCTGGGCAACACAGTGGGACCTTCTCTCTACAAAAAACTGAAAAATTAGCCAGGCACGTTGCTACATGCCTGTAGTCCCAGCTATTCAAGAGGCCGAGCCCAGGAGGTTGAGGTTGCAGTGAGCTATGATCACATCACTACACTCCAACCTGGCAAAAGAGCGAGACTGTGTCTCAAAAAAAAAAAAAAAAGAAAAAGAAATATAACATCCTGCTTCACTGCCCTCCCTAATTAAAATAGCTACGACAAAACTTCATATTAAAATAGTAACTGTACTATTAATAACAGGTGAGTCTTCTTATATATGGAACTCACCCCCCAAGAATGCAGCAATGGTATGTGGCTCAGCAGCTCCATATCGGCAACTAGAGGAGAGCACAGAGACATGAATTTTGATTAGCCTTATGACAGGTGAGGTATCATCTCTTAGACACCCTACAAAATACTCACAATTCATGGACATAATCATCTTTCACCATTACAGATAAACCATATTCCTGAAGGAAGCCAGTGAGACAAGACTTCAACCTTCCTATATCTTCTTCAACTTGATAGTTAGATACCCCTAAAAATGAAAATTTTCATTACAATAAATGTGATTCAAAATTAATGGCCACCTCCTTTAATCTGTTTTCAGATGTTCTATTCAAAACACGTATGAAACTGAAGAACAAAAATAACAAAGTATGAGACCAATATCTGTAAATATCACAAACCTATAATCAGAGACCAACTAAAACCTAGCAAAAATTTGAATTTAATTAAATCGGTTAATTGCTTCATACCCACTGTCTAGAAGAGCATCTGGCACATAGTGCTTAATAATTATTTGATAGAAGAACTGAATGAAAGAGAAAGTAATGTCCTACTTATACCCTTTATAAAAGTTATTCTCCAATTCTAAAAGACTAAATAATAAATGACACTGAGGACATACGACTATTGATAACAGGTAACTTTTTTTTTTTTTTTTTTAGTGAGACAGAGTCTTGCTCTGTCACTGAGGCTGGAGTGCAGTAGTGCGATCTCAGGTCAATGCAACCTCCGCCTCCCGGATTCAAATGATTCTAATGCCTCAGCTGCCCAAGTAGCTTGGACTACAGGAGTGAGTCACCACACCCAGATAATTTGTTCTATTTTTAGTTTCAGTGTTGGCCAGGCTGGTCTCAAACCTGGCTTCAAGTGATCTGCCTGCCTTGGCCTCCCAAAGTGCTGGGATTATAGGCGTGAGCCACCATGCTCAGCCAGTAATAGGTAACATTTATTGAGCATTAATAAATGCTGGACACTGTGTTCTAAGGACCTTATACATATTAATTGATTGAATCCTCACAACAGTCCTATGAAGTAGGTATAATCATCCCCATTCATAGAAGAGAAAACTAAGGCACAAGCAGATTAAGTTACTTAGCCATAAACAGCAAACTAGGCTATGAGCCCAGGCAGTTCTTTTTGTTTTGTTTTGTTTTGAGACAGAGTCTCATGCTGTGGCCCAGGCTGGAGTGCAGTGGCATGATCTTGGCTCACTGCAACCTCTGCCTCCCAGGTTCACCAGGTTCAAGCGATTCTCGGGCCTCAGCCTCCCAAGTAGCTGGGACCACAGGCGTGCACCACCATGCCCAGCTAATTTTTGTATTTTTGGTAGAGATGGGGTTTCACCATGTTGGCCAGGCTGGTCTCGAACTCCTGACCTCAAATAATCCACCTGCATCAGCCTCACAAAGTGCTAGGATTACAGGCGTGAGCCACTGCGCCCAGCCCCAGGCAGTTCTTCATGATTAAACTATAATGTCTATTAGACGGAAAAATGTAATTACATGATATTCAGGTATTATTTTAAAAAATCATGAAAAAACTATTATCACTACTCTTCCTTATAATAGTAATATCTATCCTTTACTGGGTACTTAAAAGGTGCTAGGCAATGTGTTAAACGGTTTTCATATATCATATATTTAACCCTTATAATCTAAGAGTAGATATTATTACTGCCATTCCATAAATGACAGAACTGAGACTAGGAGGGAAATAGTGACTCACTCAAGGTCACAGACAAAACAAGTGATAAAGCTTGGATTGAAAGCCAGGTTTAACTCCAAAGTCTATGATCTACAGTCTCCCACAGTGGCTCCCCAATAAACATCTCCTTCAAATCCTTATGTAATCCCCTCCCATTCTTAATCTAAGCTGACCCTGTGAAACCAATAGAACACAACAGAAGTGATGCTGTATGACTTCCAAAGCTAGGTCATAAAAATCCTTGTACCTTCTGTTTGGGTTTTTTGGAATGTTAACTACGGAAGCCAACTGACAAGCTAAAAGGAAGTCCAAGCTAGCCACATGAAGAGAGATATCTGACAAGCCCCCAGCTATTCCCACTATTCTGACTAAGGTGCTAGTTACATGACTAAAAATGTCTTCTTGCATGTCTAATTCAGTCAGTCAAGCCTTCAGAATGCCTCCACCTCCAGGCATCAAGCAACTGCTTGACTCCCCAAGAACTGCCTGAGCAGGAAATCCACAAAATCACAACTTTACTTACTGCCTTAAATCACTAAGTTTTGAAATGGTTTGCTATGCAATAGATAACTGAAATAAATTCTAATCAAATAAAACAAATAAAGCAATACTTATTTTGTGCTTATTCCTTTTTTTCTTCTAGTAAGTTTGCTCATTAAGACTCTGGGCCAGGCAGGGTGGCTCATGCCTGTAATCCCAGCACTTTGGGAGGCCAAGCCAAGCAGATCACTTGCGGTCAGGAGTTCAAGACCAGCCTAGCCAACATGGTGAGACCCCGTCTCTACTAAAAATACAAAAATTAGCTGGGTGTGGTGGCAGGCGGGTGACTGTAATCAAAGCTACTGGGGAGGTTGGGGCAGGAGAATTTCTTAAACCCAGGAGGCGGAGGTTGCAGTGAGCAGAGATCACACCACTGCACTCCAGCCTAGACGACACAGTGAGACTCTGTCTCAAAAAAAAAAAAAGACTGTAAACTCTGGAGACACATTGCATGGGATGGGGCAACAGGTTTTATGATACCCCTAGAATGTGCTGCTATGCAATAATCCTGCACAATTAAAATTATCATACACAATAAAAATACTCTGAGCAACCACAGATCTTTGAGATTATGCCAGTTCTCCAATGACTCCACTTGCTGAAGATAAAAAGTAGATACTAAACAGAGAAATCCCTCCATCTTCAGAGTTCTTGAGTTCAGAAATTACTAGCATACTTTTTTTTTTTTTTTTTTTTACGGAGTCTCACTCTGTTGCCCAGGCTGGAGTGTGGTGGTGTGATCTCGGCTCACTACAACCTCTGTCTCCTGGGTTC